CCTTCCTTACAGATTTTATGATACTATTTATGTTCGCACTTATATATGTGTATATATATTACAAAATACCAACGCGTGTTATATTCGAAATATTTCTTAGAATTTGAAAATGCTCCTTTTTCATTCGCACAACAATCTGGAATTTGGAATATCTTCTACATAATATACTAAGTATTCATTTGTAAAGAATTGTAAAACAAGGATTTAGCTAAAGGCAGTATGTATAAGTTATTTACACAATTGTGTTAGATAGTTCGATATTGCTTCGTTTATCAGGTAAATTTGACTTAAAACCTAAATATTTCATATACTTGCACTTTTTCCTTTTTTTTATTGATAAAAGCCCTTTAAATTTTTATTTTCTATTTATATCCGCCCGTCCATTTACTTACTCTTATTACGATTCAATGCCAGAAATCGAAAGTCTTAGCTCCTAATGGCCGGAAGTAGCTTAGCGAATGAACGAGGAACAATCGGTAAGATTAAATTCAAATTCCAATTTAAACAAATGTTTACATGTTTCATCGCTCGGCTTTAATTTGTATTAATTAATATTAAATGAATATATAATGAAAATTACAATATTTATTATGATACTAGATTAACGCAATAAAAACTATCTCAAAAACAGTTTTAAGTTTGTCTAATGTTAAAATTATTAAGAGCTTGTTTATAGTCTGCTATAAATCTATATTTAAGTATTTAAAACAGTAGCTTTTATTAAAGATAAGGTTTGGTCAGAGTTTCTCAAGGGAGCTTCTTATATTACTATTTAAAAAATATAAAACATAACTTGATTACGCCAAATATTTGCTTTTAAAAATAATACATATATTTTTTTTCAATGCTAACATATCGAAGAATACCAATTACAAATTTACATATATTGTTAAAGGTGATTAAAATAACAATGAATCGATATATATATATATATATATATATATATAATTTAAGTTTATATATAGATTATATAACATTTAAAATTCACATCATTTGTTGTAATTTAATTTAGAAAATTTTAATCCAATTATAGATAATTTGTAATTCTTTATCTTAATTTAGGTATTTAAGTCTATGGTTTTATGTACTTGTGCACATATAGATTACAAAAAATATTGCCGATATTAGAACTATTTGATATTATATTTAATTTCAATTATTACAATAGGAACAATAATTCTAATTTTTCCCTTTATATCAGGTCAACTTTATTATTCAGTCATTATCTTTATTCTTACGTGATATAATGATTGAGATGAAAATACGTTATAAAATGATATGTTTCAATGTGTAAGAATCATATATTATTTATTATTTGTATCATTAATCACAATAATGGTAAATTATAAATTAGTTGTATACTATTTCAAGTGAATTTTGCAATCTCTGTTTTCTATGTGATTGTTTCTTAAAAGGTAAACCTTAATTATATTTTTGTGTAATTCTTTTACATATAAAATATAATGAAAAAGATAAAATTATAGCCATAAAAGTAGAAAAGCGTAAAATGGATACAAAATTATAAAATATTATTGGAGGTATGATGAAATAAAATGCATGACCGGGTTCAGGTTTAAGAAATAAAATATATTTATAAAAACAAAATTAAACGCATATAAAATAATACAGTCCGTAAATATACTTTCATCTAACATAGTTCTTAATTCTTTTGCAATCGTGCATCATTTTTCTCACTCATTCATACTCATCCTCTTTCGCACTTTCTCTCATTCTTTCGTACTTTCGCGTTTTTACGTTTAATCTCTCGTGCTCTTAACCGTCATTATACAGGAACAGAAACCACATCTTTAAATAATTAGTGTTATTTTTCTCCGCTGCGCATCGCTTTCCATTATTTTTTTTGCATTTAAAGTTGTATGGCACTAGTGAATAGAAATAGAGTTATAATTATAAAATTTTCAAGTTTTTTCAAAGTGTCATTGCATGGAAAAATTCAGAGATGGATTTCAAAAACATTTCCTTATTTGAAACGTTCAGGAATTTGCTGCAAATCATCAGTAGATATATTTGTATTGCCAGAGTCGCAGTGAATTCGAGAAGATGAAAAAGGAAAGTTCTCAAGATCACTTACTCTTTGTGCGATTTAAGTGTTCCCGGCGACGTGCATTTATCTAACGTATTTATTATATATCACTATAAAATATTGAAGAAATGCCCATTTCACGCTGAAGAACGCGAATAACACACGATCTCGTTAGTTCTCACATCGACGAATCAAAACTCTCGGTGGTGCTTAATGAAATCGCATCTGGTGAAAGTTTTTATTTGTCGATCCTGGATGAATGCCCAATGAATTGTTCGATAGATCCATTTATTTATTAGTTCATAAAACGAGAAATATTTGTAAAAAAATTAAAAAAAATATATATATAACACTTCTAACAATGATATGAAGTAAAAATATGTTAGTGATATAATGATCGTCTTGCTCTAGTGATAGTCGTGCCTCCCAATGCCTTCGCTCACGTTAATTCTTATTTTACAAACTGAGTATACGGTAATACTGTTTGATATGTCACTAATTATTACGTCGACTTAATTTTTATATTTATATAACACCTGTTTTGTCTTATACTACGTTGCCATCATTTGCCTAAAAGTTTTGTCATATTCTTATTTCATTTTAACGCAAGTATTTGTTGCATAAAATTATATACTTTGAAATCTACACTTGTAGATATAAGATAATTCAAGAAAAAATATTTCACGTCACTAAAACCTACACAATGACGAAAAATGGCACTAAATAAAACATGACATTAAGAATAAACATAATTATTGCAAAATAATTAAGGCCAATTATATTCACTTAGGAAACATTTCAAACTTGTTATTGACACAATTCATTCTATTATAATTATTTTATTCCAATTGTACGCAAAAATATACAGTAAAACGAATGTAATGAAAAATTGAAAGTATTAATTGCAAATCAACGAATTCTAAATTATATTTATGTATGAAAAAAAGAAAATCTTTTTAAAAAGCTTATTTAAAGTTAAAGAATAAATGTTAATTTAATTTTAATACACATTTGTTTTATGTGAAATTTTGTAAAATTTAATAATGAGTAAGTCATATACATATTGAATAGCATAGAAGTTAATTTTTGCAATTACTTTTCAATATTATACTCTTTTTTATAAATGGAGCTAATTTGTAAGAATCCTCTTATGAATATGATTATTATTGCATTGGCTTTTCATACGTGTTAGTCCTTCCTTTCATTCGTCGTTTAATAATTCCTGAACTCTTGAGGTAGTCTGTTCTGGGTATTTTTATTACTTTTTTTATATATGTTTATACGCAGTAAAATGGCAAGGGATTATATAAATTCGTTATCGTTTAATATGATAAAAAACTAAAAAGTCGTGCGTACATTTTTCATTACACATTTCGCATTCATTTATATACAATTATATATACGACTGACTTCGATCCATCGAAATATTTTCATTCAATAGTAATTACTAATTAATTGATTTGATAAAGTAATTAATTAATATAAAACCACGGTATTTGTCGTTCGAATCGAAGTCTTGTCATTTTTTGTGATGTAACCGTTCGAATCTCGATCTTCGGCAGGTATCGACATGGTGTCACGTTATAATCAGCTCGATCAACTGAATGTACCGAGTCGTTTGAAAGATCACAATTGGTTTATTTACTTATAAATTTATACGAGCAATTTAAAGTAAAAATTTGAAAAATCACTTTAAAACATTGCATCTAACAATTGTTTATGAAATATAAAAAATAAGAGGAAACAACACTTGAGTAATAACAAGTAAGATATAAACGCACGAAAACTAGGTAGAAAAAACAAACGATGTTTGAATATAACAATCAATAGAAACAATTGCAAATAAGTATTTCGTTATGGCGAGGTTAATGTTTTTTCTATTTTTCTATCGATAAATCATAATTATGTCACAGCATTTCTTGAAGAGAAAGATGATATATTGATAAAAAACATGATAAATTTGAAAATGAATTGTTAACAATTTCCTTTCCATAGTAGTACTAATAATAGTATTAATAATAAAAATAATTACATTAAGCGTAAAGTTAACGATAATAATTATAATAACGATAACATTTTCCACAGTAAAGATTAACTCAATTTGTTTCCTCTTTCAAAAAACACCGCACTTTATTCGATAACTTAACTTCATTATTTTTATTAGCTTATTCAGAGCATTCCTTAGACTATCAAGAAAAACAAGATGAGAAGACAGATTTTTTTAGAATTAATGATTTTATATTTGGAATGTTTTGAAATGCAGCGTTCTTTCACTCATCGGCAGTTTGTTATCATAAATGTGTCTTCTCCGTCGTTTTTCCGCGGCAAGGTCCCACATTTGCTTTCGCTGTGGAACTTTGTACAATTAAATTTTAACGACTAACTTTTTCATCTACCGATGAATGCTATATCTTTTCACACTGAATGTAATTATGATTCTCTCATTTAAATGCTTGACATTATAATTATAATTTCACTTTTATTTCGCGATTTTCCGAAACATTTGTGTACATAGTGTATACGTGTACACTAAATATAAATACTAAATTTCAAATAGCTACTAGATGGATGGCTATAATAAAAATAACGAATTCTTAGTCGCTTAGTTATTTCATATGCACTATCAGCTGTCGCCAAGTTAACCTTTTCAAAATTAAAGAAGGTTGTGCAGTGCATTTTTTTACTTTAAACGTATTAAATTAAAATAAAACTTTTGTAAATATTATCGAGCTTGTCTAGATTGAGCAGAATATTTAGAAAGATCAATATTAATTTAATAGATAAAAGTAAAACCTAAAAAATAAAGTTTTGATTACATTACACGATAAGAAGAAAATGTAAAGACCTAAATGTACTTTTGGAAAATGGTTGTTCCGTTTCTATTCTAGAAAAAAATCTTAAAAATTAATAAAATTGACCATTTTATTAAAATGGCATCGAGATATATATATATATAATAATGTATGATTTATATTTAAAAAAAGTTACTTTGGCGATTGACTTTTTCGTCTAGTTGTTGATTCAACAATTACAATTGTCATTATAATGTATGCCTATATATTTAACGTATTTTGTACAATTCATAAGCTTCGAAGTTTATCAGTTAGTTCTGTTCAAATCGCTTATAGGTCTCCTTATCTTTGGCACACTCTTGCGCGCCCTCAAAAAGGGCGTAGTCCACGTCGCCTTTTAACGGGCAACGTAGTCATCAACGAAGGAAAATCATCCGGCCGATTGAGGCTGCGCATCGCGCCCACTAACAGTTCCTGCAACGCATAACGTACCTCTGATCTTTCCGTAGCGTACATAAGCACCGTAAAGAAAAAATTTTCTGGGGCGCAATTTAATGTGCCTTACTTTCGGTCCTCGCGGAAAGAAAATTTACCCTTTATAGAGCGGCTTCTTCCTTATCTCACGCCCTCAAATGGAGCTTGTGATGATTGTTAGACTTTTTCTTATGCGTTTCGAGGTGCTTCATCATGTGATCCTTACGTATGAAGCCCTTGCCGCAGTTATCACAGGCGTATGGCTTTTCGCCGGTATGGAGGCACATGTGCCGCCTGAGGTCGGTCTTGTGGTTGAATTGCTTCGGGCAGATTTCGCACTTATAGGGTTTGTCACCAGCGTGCTTCTGCAGGTGCTCAGCGTGCAGGTACTCATGTGGAAAGCGCTTACCGCATTGGTTACACTTGAACGGTTTGTCGCCCGAGTGGAAGCTCTTGTTATGCTGGGTTAAATAGCAAGCCTTGTTGAACACCTTGTCACACTCGATGCACTTGTGTAGCCCATTAACGGATATATAGTGTGAACCGGTATTGGTACTGGTTACCTGATGCTCCTTCGTCATGATCTTACTGTTGCTTTTCTCCTCCTTCGGGTCCGACCGTTTAGTCACAATGTTAGGATTAATATCTTCCTTAGCAGTCAGGTGGGGCAAGTTATTGTTTGTTTCACGTGGTGACTGTTGTTGCTGTTGCTGCTGACTTGATGCAACTTGTTGCTGTTGGAGTTGCGAGTATGTGCTAACTATGATATTGCCATCTGTGGATTGCATCATGTCTATGCCGCCGAGACACTCATATCGAGGCGGCGAGGTCCGGTAGATATCGTAATTCGAAACCGGTGAATCAAACGATCTATCTTGAGGAATACCTTCCTCGGGACTGAGCCCCCCCACGTTAACGACCGATGATTGGTCTTGGCCTGTAAACCCATTGGCGACACAACCAAATTGCGAAAAGCTTGGCATTAACTTATGTTGATGTTCATGTTGATGCTGGTGCTGGTGATGATTGCTGAAAGTGCCAAAACTGGGTAGCATCTCCTGGTGTTGATGTTGCTGGTTTGTTGTAGGCATGGTGTGCATGCCCGAGTTACCAGTAGTTGTTAGTTGGCTGGTAATAGACTCCAGTAGGCCCGGGATGCTGGTAATAGTTATAACGTGGGGGGGCAAGGCGTTTGGGTACGGCTGATGAGGCATCGAAGTACCCCCCATCATGGTTCCCGGTGGGGGTGAAGCCATCGATGCCGGAACCACCCCCGCCATTATGGGAGAAGGTGAGCTCATGTGGTGGTGGCCCGAGGCCATTGGCGAGGGGGAACCCATGTGAACTGGATGCTGTTGCATGGGTGATATGGGCGAATTCATGGGATGGTGGCCCGATGGTGCGATTTGCGATGGAGAATCCGTTGATATGTGGTGATGATGATGGTGGTGCTGCTGCTGCTGCTGATGTTGATGGTGTCCCAATTGGGGGGATGGAGAACCCATTTGCTGGTGCTGGTGCTGCGACTGTTGGTGCTGAGTTTGAGCCATTGGAGAGGATGCTGGCGAACCGAGGAATACCAAGTCGGATACCATCATTACTGTTGAAGACTGCTGTGACTGGGACTGCTGTTGCTGCTGTTGTCGGACTGATTGATGTTGCAGGGACTTCTGGACCGCTTGGACTGGCGTAGCCTCGCTGCTGCTGTTGGAACTGCTGTTGTTGTTGAAGATGGCTGTGGTGGTGGTGGTGGTGGTGGGCGTGTGAAGCAGGCCCCTCGTTGCCTCGCCCGAGGGACCTGCCATCAAGTTTGGGGGACTGCTCGATGAGGAGAGCTCCGGAGAATTCCGACTGGCCGCTCCAGCCCTACCTGAATTTGCTTCACGGCCAGGATGGTGATGCGCACTAATAGGCATATTGGCTGGATCCGGTTGATTGCTTTGTTTTACTGCGTTTTTATGAAGTGTTGTATTATAGTGCCTTTTAAGGTGTCCCGAGCTGGTAAACCACTTGTTGCATGCGGTGCAGTTATAGGTCTTTGGCCTGCGTGCTTCATTACTTTTCCAGGACTGGTTACCGCTAATTGGTGGAGGTTTAGGATTTTGTTGCATTAAGCCGGCAGGAATTGGGTGACTGGGCATAGACTGCGTACTCGTGATAATTGGTGAACCTGGGTGACGGGGTGGCTCAACGGGTGGTATATGCTGTTGTTGTCCTCGCATAAACTGGTTTTCTTGTATAGGCGAGACACTATCCAATGGACCCATAGGTGACATGACAGGATGGTAATCATGCGGTTGTGAACCGGGCGGCCAACTCAGCATAGATGTGACCGAATGTGTAGTACCACGTGCTTGATGTTGTTGCAACACTTGGTGTTGCATTTGCACATGCATATCTTGGTGTTGATGCTGATGATGAAGTCTCATGAATTCCTCCTCATATCTGACGAATTCAAATATAATAACAATAATATTTGGCGTTTTAATTTTTTATTTAGCATTTGTAAATAATATTCCTTATTAAAATATTTTTTAGCTTCATTACAAAATGAGAACAATTTTGTAAATATTTTAAACTTGTTATCAAAAATTTGTAAAATATTGGATGACTAAAACAGAAATTAGTTCTTGACTGAAATATAATTTAAATTTGAATAATTATATACTAAAAATCTCGAATTGTCTTCGAGTAATAAATTTTTTAAATGATTGTAGATTCCATTAAACACTATTTCTATACGAAATACCAACCTGTGAGTTTGCACTTTATGAGAGTCCAGATCAAGAATTTCAGCTTGCTCTTCGGGCTCCTGCTTGACTTCATTCTTAACGGTGACAAAATCGTAAGTTGGTTGCTGCTGCTGTTGGGGGTGTCGTTGCTGTTGTTGATTCGATTGTGATTGCGGCGATGAAACATGCATCTGTTGCTGCTGCGCCTGCGCCTGACTCTGCTGCGATTGCGTGACCTGCTGTTGTTGTTGCGGACTGCCAGCCAACTGTTGATACTGCGACTGTGCTGTTGGTGGATACACACTCGGTGATCCCGAGTGGTTAGATCGAATATGTTCTGCCAGTTGGGCTGCATCTTCGTAGACACCCCCGCACTTGTCACACTGAAGTGGGCTTCGTGGGCTCGTTGAGCTCACCGAATTAGCGCGTTCTGCAGCGAAATGCTGGTGCTGGGGGTGATGATAGGGATGATATCGAGTGTAGTTCCCGGACTGCCCAGAGCGCGTCGTCCCCGCGGTTTCGTCGTCCTCGTCGTCCGGCGAAAAATGGTGGGGGAGAATATAATTAGCCTCACCATGCATGAAGTATTGGGGATCTCCAAACATCGGTGTGACGAAATGCTGATTAAAGCCCTGCTCTTGGTGTTGATGTTGCAATCTAGCAGAGCTCGGAGGTGCAGAACCCTCCGACGCCGGGCGTGACGCCGTTTCGCTCGAGTCCGCGGGAGCTGTAACGCTCTCACGTTTTATGGTCCCTGTGCCACCGCTATTGTGGTTGCCAGCTTTGCTATTATTATTGTTACTCTCTTCTTGCTGGCTGGTTTGGGTAGCCCATTGGTTGAGCAAATTATGCTGATGATAACGTAGGTGCACGTCAAGACTGATGCTACTGTCAAAGTTCATGCCGCAATCCTTACAGCAGAGTTTGTCGTTAGTGGCAACGGCGCCTCCTACATACTGCTGCTGTTGATGCTGTTGCTCGACGACGCTCGTCATCTCACTCATAATAGTTTCTTGCCTCTCCGATACTTTGTGGAACGAGAATCGTTCTTGTACACTTGTTTGGAATCACCGCTGGCTTCGGTCACTCGCGCACTCTCACACTTGATTGACGCAACAAAAAATTAGAACAAAAAGAAAAGAGAAAAAGGTATTGATTCTTAAAAGAGATCTACATATATCACGATCGTGCATCCGGACTACTCCAAGTTCGAGACGCGCGCGGAACCAAACTGGATTTGCGTGCGCACCGACAGGTTGATTCACGAATGCTCGGCATCGTTTGATTTCCCTTGGTGATCGCTGCCTTATCTATTATTTTATATTTTCCGTTTTTTTGGGTGCTCAGTAATAGAAGATGCGTATGGTACGGAAAAAATAAGACCTGAAAAAATAAACGAATCGTCCTTACCGACGAATCACATGTTCGCAGTTCTTGGCAACAGTCTTGGATAGAAATAAGGGTTGCCTTTTCAGCGATTGGACGAGGCCGAGCCTCGACGTCGCTTTGGGCGACGCTCCTCGGCTAGACTCTTGTCACAAATAAACTTCGAGCGTTCGCTTCTGCGTGCTAACGCGCGCTCCTTCGATTACGATCCAACTTTTACGCATCCTTTGGCACTTACCTACGCCGACGTTTACGCCCTTTCATTGAGGCGCCCTCTCACTCACTCACTCTCTCTCTCTCTCTCTCGTTTCCTCGTATTTTCTCAACAATTGGAAAGCCAGTCGTTGGCACCTTGGATACTATATGTTCATCAATTTAATGATTCAAACAGATTAGTGTCAACGTAAACACACACTTTGAAGTTTTTCTGTTGTACGCTCGTCTTTGGCTTCTTGTTTGCCGGCAGCGCCAGCGCCTTGCATACGTTCACTACTTTGTAGGTGTAAGTACGCGCGACGTACTTTCTAAACACGAGATCCGTGTAGTAGAACCGACGGCACTGTTCTGTCCGTTGGAATTCCACGACGCTTCGGCTCAGAGTCCTCGGACATCTCTCTCTCTCTCTTTCTCTCTCTTACTCTCTCCAACACGCGCCGACGCCCGTATCGCTCTTTTCCTCCTTCTCTCTCTTTCTCTCTGTCTGTCTGTCTCTCTCTCTCTCTTGCTCTCTTTCGATCTATCTATGTATCTATCTATCTATCTATCTATCTTTCTCTTAGGAGCTGCGCGCTCAAGGAGATGCTTGCCCAATCCCCTCCCCGCTAATCTCCTCGTCCCTTGGTAGCCCCTCCATGACCCTCTTTCTCCAAAGGCTTCCTTCACTCCTCCCCTTCGACATTCGCTCTCTCTTTCTCCGACAACCGACCATAGTATCATCCCCCTCCTTCGGCCTTCCATCTCACTTACTCTTGTACCCCACCATCAGCTGCCTCGAGGCGTCTCGAGGTGAGCGGCTCGAGAGGCAGCCAACCAAATTTCAGAAGTTCGCCTTACTCTTTCTCTCTCTCTTGAGCTCACTATCCCTCCTACTCTTGCTTTTTCTCTTTCGTGATTCTTTTGCTTATCTGAATTTTTCTCTCCACGCGCTGCTCTGATCTTTCCTCTTACTTGCTCTCACCCTCGCCTGATCTTTCCTTTTTTTTTCTTTTCTAAGTCTCGCTGACCAACGCTCTCCTTCCATTTTTTCCTTGACACTGTATTTACGTCTTTCTGTAACTAGTGTAGAACTTTGAATTTTATGTTTTTCAAAGGATAATAGATGTTAAATAGGTACGTCGATTGTACGATATACGAATCATGAATATACCGATTTTAAGAAAATCATAAAATAATTTTATAATTTCATTATTTGATTTCATTATTTTGATAATTTTACCCTTTTCTTTAAATTTTATTTTTCTAATTCTATTATTCAATAAGACTGAACTTACACTGATACAAAATTGATCATTTCTATATGTACAATCCTTATAGTGTATTTATTATAGGTAAACTAAAATGTTAACAATAGGTAAGAAATCTGCTTATAATGTATTTTAAAATTCATATTTAAATAACCGTTTTATTTTTACTCCTAATTATTAGTCTTTCGATAGCATTTAAAATTACATGAAACAATATATATATATATATATTTAATAACATAGTCTATAATTAATAATTCATATATAATTATGTATATAACGAAACATGTTTATTATAAATATAATTGAATACTCTTAATCGGCAATAATAATAATTATAAAGTTAAAATTGGAAATTAATGATTATTAACTAATTTGCATTTATAAATAAGAAATATATCGTTAAACTTATAAGCTATACTTATTCATTATCATAACGCGATTGTGTACTATTTAAGTATTAATTACTGAATAAGTAAGAGAATAAATAATCATCTGATTTATATAACATTACATTTTATAATGATTTTTATAACGTTTATTCATAGTTGATTCCTGGTCACCGTTGCAAGGATACAATTTCAGAGGCCGCAGTTGGTCACACACACGTAAAACTGTTACTACTCTCACTAACTCCCTCTCTGCCCTTATCTCTTCGTCAAGTCTTTCACCTACATCAGAACAAAAAGAGGAAGAGGGAGATATTCTATTGCCTCTTTTCCTGTTTTACTGACAAAGAGAAAGGAGGTAAACGCGCATGCTAAAGCAATATCCTTGAGTGCGCACCGTACCGGAATAGCTGATAGTGTGATCCTCAACACAAAACGCTTATAAAACGGACTGGCGATGAGCAAAATATAATGTTCAGCCCCCCCCCCCTCCCAATGTACAGTCAACCACAGAAAATGACGGAAAGTAATTTTCCGTTTTTGTTCATCATCAGATCATTATCGGGTATGAAGCATCATTGTCTATCAATCATCAACGTTAGTTTTTTTTAGATTTAGTTTAATATATTATAAAATCGAACATTTATCTCATTGTAATACTTAAAGGTATTTTATAATTAGTATATAATTAATTTTATAAATACATCTTGTTTATTATAAATCGCCTTACAAAATAAATAATTATATATTATATTTTGATTAAAGTAATTAGTAAATGATATCTCTACTTTCATTCCATTATATATCGAAACCAGAATAAAAGTATTAAATTTTCTACTTAAAAAATTTAAGCCTGGTTTTTTTATTCAAATAAAATTAAAAATATATAAATATAGCATGTTTATATAAATAAAATTCTCATAAAGTCTCAATAAATCTGGAGCGTAATTCATGTGTAATAATATTATAGATAATAATTATGGTATATATTAGGTATAATATAATAATATACAATAAAATATATTTATTGTAATTTATTGCAATGGCATCAAATTATTTCAAATTTCAAAACAATTTTATATAATTCTAAAACTGATTACATACATTACAAAATATATACACAAAAATTTATTAACAAAAAGTTAATACATGAAATAACTCCATTAATTATTTAAATTGAAAAAAAGTTTCACTATCAATATAATAGTTATAAAACTATTAATAAATCTGTTAAAATGGTTTGCTTTTTAAAAAAAATATAAAAGAAAAATTTTAAATTCAAAATTTTATTTATAAATTTTTGTAGACAAAAATAGTTCGTAATATTATACAGGTAATTATCAATAATTGTTCCTTTACTTTAATATTATTCATGATTTATTTTCATTGTAATATAGAAAGAGGTTGGCTTTCAATTTTTGTATACATTGATAATTTATTGAATAATCAAATATTAATAAGTTGTAAAAATGAATAATAAAATTCATGTATAATTATCATAAATTTAATGATTAGTAAGTACGAAAACAATTTTAAGATTGTTTTTATATATTTAATGAAACATATATAAGATATGAAATAATTTTAATAAAGCAAATTACATTTATTTTCAAAAAAATTGTCAAAATTTTTACCAAACTGATGATGTAAAAACTTGACAGACTGACTCAATTATAAATAAGATAATTGCATGTAGTACATTACCCAACGAAAAGAGATACTTTGAGACGCAAAGCCGTAGAACAAAGACTTTAAGGATTTACCGGTATTTATATAACCTTGTACTTACTTAGCTGCTTAATAAGTAGATGGCGATTTGCGAGTTTCGCATATGAAAGTCTGAGCGTGATATTTGTTAGAAGAAGTATATGGAAATCGAGAAAGACGCCTTCTCGATACTGAACCATTTGTGCACGTACATAGAATTAATGAATTATGCACATATATATATTGAATAGAACAGCGCTTGTAAGTTGTATCGATCGTTCCGATATCGACGTAAAGGAGACCTACCAAATATTATTTACCAAATTCTTTACGTTTTCTCTTTTCCTCTTTTTTATTTAAAATAATATTATAAATTAATGTCACACACAAATGCACATGTACATAGAAAAATAGAGGCGTATGTTTATCAAAAAGCTAAAATATTTGATATCTGTATAAATATATATAGTAATAATTAATTATTCAATATAATAAATCAAATTCCTACAACTGAGATAGATCGAACAATAGGTTTGAAAATTGAACAATTATTAAATAAAAAATCTATTATAACTTTTATATATCATGTAACCACTATGCATTAATCATTACCTAATTTTAAATAGTAATTTAAATGTTATATATATTTTTATTAAAAATTAAAATAAAATTTGGATGATTCTTATCTAACTTTATTTTTCCTTTATTTAATTTTAGTTATCATTATTAGAAAATCAAAAAATCTAAGTATTTATAAGATAAAATAAGAAGATAAAAGAATGTACACATACATAATAGAATGACAATTCTATTCAATTCGCGGAATTAACGAATTTGAAAGTCAAATGATCAATAATTATGCTTGTCGAGAAAATACCAGTTTTTGAGAAATATCTAATTCTAATATTTGTTATAAATATTTATAAAATGTTAAATATTTATAAATAATTAAAGTTAATAATTTACATATATTATTTTTATTTCGTTACTTTTGTGTATGTTAAACTTATGTTCCGCAAATTTTTATTCAAATTGAAACATTTACTGAAAAAACGGATAGGATACTTCTAATACTATATAACATTTATATTATATTAGAATAATTACAAATTTAAGAATAATAATATTTATACAACTATTTAATATTATTTTATTGTATTTGTATTATTTTTATTTTTCATTTTCAGTATAATAAATTTTATTAATAATGA